TTTGGTAGGTTTTTGATGATTGTTTCAATTTCCATACTGCTGATCGGTCTATTTAGATTTTCCAGTTCTTCTTGATTCAATCTAGGAAGGTTGTATTTTTCTATGTAGTAGTCTATTTCTTCTAGGTTATTAAATTTGGTGTTATATACTTTTTCATAGTATTCTTTTATGATCCTTTGTATTTCTGCGATATCTGTTGTAATTTCCCCTTTTATCTCTGATTTTGTTTATTTGAGTTTTTCCTCTTTTTTCTTTAGTGAGTTCCATTTAATATTTTTCAACTGCTGTTGACTGTGGGTACATGAAATCACAGAAAGTGAAACTATGGGTGGATAAGGGGGGATTACTGCATGTTGTCATTCTTGATAGTGTCTCATAAGTACCTTATTGTCTCTTCACTTTTCTTCATACTTTTTTTCTTCTTGCTCTTCTGACTCAATAATTTTAAATGACTTTTCTTTATGTTTGCTGATTCCTTCTTTAAGTTTGCTGATTCTTTTATTCGATCAAGTCTGATGTTGAATGCCTCTCAGGAATCTTTAATCTATTGTGTTCTTTAGCTCCAGGATTTCTGTTTAGTTCTTTTATTATAGTTTCTATCTCTTCATTGAATTCTAATTTTGTTCATGCATTTTTTTTTTCTAATTTCATTAAGCTGTCTTTCTGTGTTCTCTTTTAGTTCATTAAACATCTTCAAAATGGTTATTTTGAATTCTTTGTCAAGTAATTCATAGATAGCTACTTCTTTAGGGTTATTTTCTGGAAATTTATTTTGTTCCTTTGATTAGCTATGTTTCTTTGTGTTTTTATATGCCTTGGGAACTTATGTTGAGGTTTAGGCATTTGGAAAAACAAACAAAACTGTCACTTCTCCCAGTCTTTATCGATTTGCTTTGTAAAAGGAAAACCTTTAACTAATAGATTCAGCTATAGATTCAGGGGTCTACTCAAACCTTTACTGGGGAAATGACCTCTCTGGTTTTGTTCATGTACTTTCCCAGTTAAAGAGTGTTGTTCCTGTTCATTTTTTTTTTTTCACCTCAGGAACTTCTAATCTCTTGCTCACCCTGATGTCTGTCTACTGTACTGCAGTCTCTCTGGTACAGTAGGAATCAGTGGCACTTACCTTGTTTAGACATCCCCTATCTTGATATTCAAAGTAGATTGTCTTTTCTATCAATGCTCTGAGTCTGGTGAGACAGAAATCATTTACTTTCTAATTTTCTATTTCATTGTGGCATTTTTAATCCAAGAATGTTTGTATTGGTATGGATTTAAGTTTGAACTGGTATGACATGTATTTATTTTAAAAATCATATTTCTACTGGTCCTTCACCAGTGGACAGGAGCCAGGTGGCCTCATGAGGCTGTTCAGTTTACCAAAGCACCTCTTAACATTGCTGAGAAATATGAGTTGATTTTTATCTTTTACATAGAATTATAATACTGACTTTTTTGCACTAGTTTACCTCTCGTTTCTCTGTTCACGCTGTTTGTTTTTTTAAAGTATTTTCTTGATTCAAATCCAGACTTCCTCCACAGGATTCAAAGGTTATTGCTCAGGTGTGGTAAACCACAGGATATGCTCCCTGTATTTATTGAATTGCTGTATCAGCAAGATTACAAAGTCTAAATGCATTTATTGTAATTATCTTTTGAAATTAAAATGATCTTGAATAGATCAAGAATATGATATGCTAATCACTAGTTTCAGAAGACTTCAGGGGAGAAAGCAAGTTAAGGCCAGTTGGAGTTGCTCTTTTTGGGACTGGAGTTACATAACCGAATATATAGATTGGTTTTGCCTTCCAAGAGTATGTAAGTGGTTTGAAGGAAAATAAGTGGTAGCAACTTGAGTACAAAGTAAAAAGTCTAAGCTGTGGGCTGAACTCAGGCCCACTCACTCTGAGTTGTTTTTTCAAGGCAGCAGAATTGGGCATGGATTTTGGTGTCCCGGGGAGTGGTGGTGTGAGGGGTAGAACAGGAACACAGCCACAGAAAACACTACATCCAGACCAGGGCCTGCTGATCCTTGCTGTACCCAATTTCAGGGGAAATGCTTAGAGATATAAAGGTGTCAAGGACAGATCTTAGACAGCACACATGCAGCAGGAACCAAGTAGGAGGATACAGTCAGCTTACGGCTCTGCCTATTTCAGAGCATTACTATAATAGGGGTGGTATAGTCACTTAGTAGACTTGATCATGAGTGTGGAATGGCCCACATCTTGCTAGTGTGGGCTGGTTTGGGTCAGGGATGGGTCAGGCAGTCTTTAGGTAGCACAATCATGATGCACACGTGTGGTGATACTGTAGTAGGAACCAAAAGGTATAGGCTCTATTTTGAGCAGTTAAAAACTTAGGCTTTGAAGCCACTGAAGTTGTGTTTGAAATTAGATTCCAATATTTCCCATTTGAGTAACTTACCTTTTAACTTTAGTTTTAGTTTTCTCATTGGGATAATAATGCCACACCAAAGAATTTTTCGTAAAAATAAAAGGTCTTGTCTGATAGATCTTCCTTTGATGATAGAAATGTTTCATAAAATGCGCTATTCAGATGATAGCTCCTAGTCATATATGGCTACTGAATACTTAAAATTTGCCTGATACAAATGAGGACCTGAATTTCTATTTTATTTAATTTTAATTAATTTAAATAGCCACATGTGTCTACTAGCTGCTGTATTGGATAGCACAGCTATGGATGATACCTGTTATAGGGACTACTTAGAATATAAAATGTTAGCATTTTAGAATTTACTTGAGTGATATATTCTTTCAGTTACTTATTTTTGTATATGTTATATGCTGTTTCATGTGCAATGAAGTATATAGCCAATGTCCCTATCTTGGAAAAAAATACAACAAACTTTAAATAAGCACAAGGAAGACAACATAGACATCCAAATGATATACCTTAATCTTAATAAAAAAAAAAAAGAATTATATCAAGTGTAGAGGATTCAGAGGAGCAAGAGATCTCTTCAGGAATATGAAGAATGGGAGGGTGTGTACTTGTTATTGAAGCATGTTACATATTTTGGTTAGGTAGAAAGGAAATTTCAGGTCTAAGCACAGTGAAAATGAAACTAGTAGGGTAAGAAACTGCAAGATATGATCAGGGTTCAGTGAACAGGCTTAATTTGCTGAAGTGTGGAGGAGGTTTGGAAGATGAAATAAGCTAGAAATGTGTTTTCAAGGATGTTATCAACTGTAGCTGTCTTTGAATTCATGGCTAAAAACTTGAGATTTGTCTTTCTAATAGTGAAAATTCAGAATCATTGAAGAATTTAGAGCTAAAGAGAAATGTAATCAGATTTTTGTTGTAGGAAAATAACCTTGGTAAATGTGTAATAAATAGAGAAATGAGTTAGGAAGCTTACACTAGTCTAGGCAAGAGTTTAAAGAATTTCTGAACCAGAAAAGTGGCTGTAGAAATGAGGCTTTATAGAGGTAAAACTGACAGGTATTGCTAATATATTAGAATACGATTGTGGAGGCATTGAAGGGAGGTTTGTCAAGATGTGCCTCCAAGACTGAATTATAGCATTGACTGCGGGTAGAAGAGAGAGTCCAGCTAAGTATATAGGTTGTGGCAAAAGATAGGGATAAATATTACAGTAAGAACCCTGAGTGAAGATATCCTGGGGAAACAGAGTCACTTATGGTTACCTGGCTACCAAGAAATTGCTGTATGAAATAGTTGCTATGTACACATTTTAATGCTACATTTTAAAAATTAGCTTGAACCAACATTTAATCTGAAAACTTCAGTGTATTCTTATGTGAAGACTAAAGCATTTTGCAAGCACATGATCTGCAGAAAACTTAACTATAATGATAATTAGCAATGATGCCATATTTATAACTAGTAATTTATTGAACCTCTTTCCTTCCATATTGTTATTCTGCTCCCACCTTTGATAACTCTATCATTTTTTTTTTTTAGAATGAACAAAAGCGAACACAATAAACAACTAGTCTGAGAACCTGAGTCCAATATCATGTGGTCCAGGTAATAAAATTTTTATTGATCATTACCCAATAAATTGATTTGCATGATGGAAGGTTCACTGTACTGAACATCACCAAAACTTTTTTTTCTTCCTTACTAGAGTTGGAAGTGGAAAGTTAGACTGGTATTAGCCATTTTCTTCTTGTAGTCTTCATCAAATCTCTCGTTCTGAGCCACAGTAAAGTGATTTTTCCAGTCTCCAACTGCCCCTGAAACAGTCACATGGGAGAGTCAGTAGCTGCTGGAGGAATTCGTATTTCTTTACTCTCTTGTTTTTGGATGACTATTTCTACTCCACTCTCAGGAAGGGCTGTATGCAACAAGACATTACTCTTGCTGGCCTGTCACTTTCTCATCCTGAAGGAAAGAGGGATTCTTGTCTGATTCAGGGGACAGGGAGAGCCTGTGCACACTGAGCCACACTATTGGGGAGAATCAGATCACCACATTAAACAGCAGGTCTGAGGGGTTTCTTGTCTTTTTCTCCTGTTCTCTTGCATATCAAAGCCTGCTAGGTGCTTATGCTGCTAGCCTCTATGCTATAGACAGACCATGCAGGGCCTGTTTCTGGGAGAACTCGAGGTACAGTTTTGAGGAAGAAAACAAAAAAGATCACTCCAAATGTCCAATTTCAATCCCTGTTACCTTGTGCAGATTACTTTTTCTCTATAGCAGTTACCATTGTCTAACATCCTGTGTATTCTCTTTGTTTATTTTGTTTATGACTAAAATATGATTTGCATGATGGAAAGGATTTTTGTGTGTTTCCTCACTGCTCTGAACATTACCTAGAATAGTGCCTGGCACGAAAGTATTTTTGAAAGAATGAATCTAACTGATAGCATAGAGCCATTTATAAAATGGATTCTTTACTTCACTTGATTTAATTCATCTTATCAGCTAGAACTCTGGAGGGAAAGTGAGGATAAGGGTTTGGATTTAGACACCAAACCTCATTCTCCAATTGTGACTCAACATTGTTTTCATTTCATCTGTTGTTTCTTAAATACTTTCCCTAGAATCATTCATTATAGATCTTATTTTTCTTATCCATAGGAAAGAAAGCTCTCCTAAGGCTCTGAAATATCAGACAGTTCTTTTAAGATTGCGATTAAAAGAGGACATAAACACCTTTTCTCATGAATGGAGAAATAGAGTGGTTCATTATTTCAATAGGAAATGATGAATAGTTGGCCATTGGATTCTGCTTCATAATATTAAATGAAGTGTGATGGACAATTTTATCTAGAACTTTGTCATCTAGGTTCTTTCCAATGAATTCTGCAAGCTTCGAAATTTCATGCTTTGGGTTCTGTAATCGGAGTGAAAAAAAATGTGAAGATTTGATACAAAATAGTTGTAAAAGAATATTAAAAGAATTAATAACAGTAATCAGTAAAATGTCACGAGTTAAACATTTTTAAAAATCTTATCTCAGAAATGCTCAACTTTCCAGAAATGAATTATTTTAATATAGTAACCCAAATCTTTTCTTTTTATAAATTAGAATTATTAAGCTTTTTTGCTCTAAGATGGAAGCATTCACAAAAAAATGACATTCCTGTTTCACTATAGAATGTGTTAAGACTTACTTCCAAATATCCCGCTCAAGTCAGTTATGGTCTTGGTCAGCTAAATGTCAAACAGGGAGAGTCCATAGAATAATAATAAGAACAGAGAGATTGCAGAAACATGGGGGCAAACAATCTAAGACATGACTGAAAGGAGGCTGTCTCTTGTTTCCGACATTTGTAGAAATGCCCCCAGACATTGCTGTGGTGACGGGAGGATGGGAGAGGACTATTTTTGCACTCATGAGGCACCTAAGAGGCACCCATGGTTAATAACTCTAGTGTCCAGCATGTTCGGGTGGTTAGGTGTCTCTGAGAGGAACTCATTTCCAATGTAGCCACTGTTTTCTCATCACACAAGGGACACACAAGCCTGGGAAGCTGTGACCTTTGGGAAGTGCCCTATCTCTAGGAGTACTTGCAGGGGAGGGAAAGTGGAAAAGTTTACCCTTACAACTGTCTTCTGCTTTAAAATGAGCTTCTGTGGTACATATATACAATGGAATATTACTCAGCCATAAGAAGAGATGAAATACTGCCATTTGAGACAACATGGGTGGACCTCGTGATAATCATGCTAAGCGAAATAAGCCAGACAGAAAAAGTTGAAAATCACATGATATCACTTATATGTGGGATATAAACCTAAAGCAACAAATGAACAGGACAAACTAACAGAGACTCATGGGTATGGACTATAGACTAGTGGTTACCAGAGGGTAGGGGGTGAGGGAGGAGAGGGGAGGTAGATGGGGTAAAGGGAGTCAAATATAGGGATGTAGGAGGAGGGTGAAGTGAGTAAAGGGGATCAAATATATGGTAGCTGAAGGAAACTGGACTTTGGATGATAAACACACAATACAGTATACTAATGTCAAATTATAATGTACACCTGAAAATTATATAATTGTATTCACCAGTGTTACCCCAATAAACTTAATTTTCAAAAAGTAAAAAAAAAAAAAAAAAGGCTTCTGCTTAAAAATGCTTGGATGTCATATGTGCTTAATTTAATTGACTTATACAAAAAATGCTGAAAACTGTGAGCTTTGTGTGACTACAATGAGGGAAAATTCCAGAACGTGATTATAGGAATATTTAAGGGTTTTAGGGACTCTGAGTTTGGAAAGTTTGGACAACCTGTTTTAAAAAATATTTTCCTGGCACTCATAGTACATTAAGATCTATCCCAACATAAGAGTGCCATTCCCAGGGATATATCTTCTCATTGAAACTGCTATGACACATGGTGGGCGAGCATCACTTAGATGGAGTTGTCCTATTCTGAGTATAACAACACCTTTTCTTCTATGGACTCCCCAATTTGTCACTTCTGCTCATGAAAGAGTAACCTCTTCCCTTATACAACTCCCTGCCATAATATTCCCTAATCAAATATCTATATTAGAATTCTGTGATTAGGTAACTCTCTGAACTTAAATAGCAGATAGATAGATAGATAGATAGATAGATAGATAGATAGATAGATAGATAGATAGATAGATAGATAGTATTTCCTCAGAATATGAGCAATGAGAATCTCCTTATGTAAGCTTTTCTTTTATTTAGTTTTTCGGTGACCTATGTCACTCAAAACTTTTGTACCAAGTTAACAATAAAGGAGGGAATTTTATACTGATAACTATGTAGGTTTTTCTGATAGCTCTTTAATCATAGTTCTGAGGATACTAGAAATGTAATGACTTATGTTTTTTAAAAATATAGATTGCAATATAAACAAAACAAAAGAAGAACTCATAGATATAGGGAACAGACTGGTGGTTGCAGGAGGTTGGGGGTGGTGATGGTGGTGATGGTGTGTGAGATGGGTAAATGGGGCTCAAAAGGTACAAACTTCCATTTATAAAATAAATAAGTCCTGAGGATGTAATGTACAGCAGGGTGACTATAGTTAATAATACTGTATTTTATATTTGAAAGTTGCTAAGAGAGTAAATCTTAAAAATTCTCATCACAAGGAAAAAATTATAACTATATGTGGGATGAATGTTAACTAGACTTATTGTGATCATTTTGCAATGTATACAAATATCAAATCATTTTGTACACCTGAGACTAATATAATGTTATATGTCAATTATGTTGCAATTTAAAAAACAGAAAATCATTGTGTTTTTCACTCTTCAAAATTTTGTAGAAACAACTGGAAAAGCCTCATCTGTGATTGAACCCAAGACAAGTGCATCAAAACAAATGAGCATATGAATCCCCTAGAAATCTTGTAAAACTGTACCTTCTGCTTTAGCAGTCCTGGTGTGGGCTCTGAGAGCCCATGCAGCTATTCTACAAAGCATCTTTTGAGTACCAAAGCTTTCAATGATGAATTTAAGATCAGAGACTGTAATTCTTCACTGATCTCTGTATTCAGTGGAGTCACAAGTACTGAGTAGATTATCATTCACAACAAACTCCCATGAATATCATTTCATTTAGTCCTCATAACAGATGTTGGGGGAGTATATATTATATTTCCTTTTTGTATTTGAGGAAACTAAGTAAGTCTTGAAGATGTTAAGTGTCTTCATTAAGAATAATTTCCAGTAGGCAATAAAGCCAGAATTTGAATTCAAGAATTTTGACTCTAACTCATTAGTATTTTTCATTGCACCACAATTTCTTAAACTGTTTCTTGAAACTGATGTTCCTCAAGTACTGATGGAAAAAAATGTGTAGGAAAAATGTCTTACTCAAACAGAATTTTGAAATAGATATACAAAGAGGGGAAAAAAGATCATTCATAGATTGCCATCATCTGCCTAGAAGGAAAAGGGGTACCATACTCCACAGCACCAGGAAGTTGCAGGTGAGATGATGTGATACATAAACTCATGATATCCCATGTACATTTTTATGCATGGACAGTTGATAACCAATGAAATACAGCAATTTTCTGTTCCCTGTTTCAATCTGTGGGTCTCTGATGGGTTTCAAAATTTTTGACTTTAATGTTTTATGGTCAAATGGAGAAACACATTAGACACCACTGCCCCTCACCATCTTTAGCTCCTCATAGAAGAGGTAGAGAATGCGGTGTTGGTCTTTTGCTTCCCACCATCCTTTCACGTGGTCATACCAAGAACCCCAGCACACTGCAAGATGGGATGAAAAACAGGGTGATGAGTCACAGAAGTCCAATCACAGATATTCCACTGAAAAGAGAGTTCCTGCATGTCACATTGATGGTTCCTTTACATTAAAGACGGCATAGTCCCTTCTGTTCTAAGGCAATAATTCTTTCGTTTTAGAGTGTTTGAGGGTTTTGAGAAAGAAAGGAATCAAAGCTGAATTCTCTTACCTTTCCCAGTCAGAAAACTCTCAAAATACTCTTCCCAGGTTCCTGGAGCAGGAAGTGCTTTATTCATCCTGTGGAAATGGTAATAAGACACCATAGTGTCCTTGGGATTTCTTGCTACATAGATTATCTGGGAATGATGGGAGAGGGGAAGAAGTACAAACAAAGATTAGACCTCTATGTAGTTATTGCCCAGATAAATGATGTAAGGGTGGGTGCATTTCATACTGATGAATTTTTCTGATTCTGCACTCTTATGATCTTGGCATTTGTGAGAGGATTCATATCAGTTTGCATATTGATTATTGTGAAGAGGTGGATTCTTTTTCTTTAACAATAAGCAACGTATTTTAAAAGGAAATTGATTAAAGACCACTAAGGTCATCCTAAGGACTGCATCTCTGGATTCCTTTTGCTGTTTACCTTACAGTTTTTCTCTAGAAAGGATGGCGGCAGCAAGTTGATGGGAAGATGTGTTTTCAGGATTCGTGGCGAGGGCATTGCATTAGCTTGTTCCAAACCTGTAAAATAGATTTTTGATCACTTTCCACTGTTTTTCTCTATTTGCTTCAAAATATTGCTACTTTCATTATTCTACCTTAAGAACAATTGAACAATTCAAGACAGCTGAAAGAGCAGTGTAACTGTCTATAGATCTAATCTGAAAGAATATGTCTAACTTATGAATTAATGTTTTGACTAGAACAACTTTCAACCATAACAAACAACAAAGTGAATAAATAAGAACCTAACAAAGTCAAATCTTTCCACTCTGAAACTACTTGGGCTCATTCTTGTGGAGAAAAATTATTTTTTAATTGGAGAATCAAAACTTACTTTTGTATGAACAGTAATTCCATTAGACAATGTCTGAAGTATAACAATGGCTGGATATTGTTTTTTAAAAAAAGGAGAAATTCACAAAACCTATTAATAATTGTTTGAATGCCTAGAATTTTGAGAGGACTATTTGATAGTAAAAATTCTGAGTTTATATTTAAGACTATAGTCAGTGTGGCTCTTCAGTACTCACCAGATCCTAGAGATGGGATTATCCATTCAATGAAAGGAAATCGTACATGAATAGGTGCTCGTTTGCTATTGTCAACATCACCTTCATTTTGTATTAAGTCCACTATTTCTTGAGTCCATGTTGTTCCTTATTCCACATGGAAGATGAAGATACATAGACATTTACTATACTATATTCCTTAAAATATAATCAAATACTTGTTAGAAGATTTAGAGAATTTTTAAAACTTTTATGAGTTTATTTGAGACAAACTGACTATATACACTGGGAGTAAGATCTCAAATGCTCCCTATTAATGTGAATTTTAAAGCTAGGTTTATAATGCAATTCAGAAAATATCATTCTTTACCTCTTGTTTTATCATAATATGAATTTTTATAAAGACTAAAATTTCAAGTGGACCTTATAATCCATGGCTAAAAAAAGTTGTTGTTTTTTTTTCTGTCACAACCATTAATTTGATTTGATAGCCTATGGATTTAACTGCATTATTCTTTAGAAAGAGTAGTTCCTGGACCCTGATCAGGGAGAATTTTGAGGGCTTCTGTGGGCAGCTGAGGTGAAATCAGCATTGCAGAACAAAAGCCTCCCAAATTCTGGCCCAAATCAGCCTGGGATCCCCTTTATAGTTCACAAAGCAGCTTTTTACGAGATCTACAATAAGAGCCTGCATTCAAATAAAGAAATCAACAGCTCTGGTGCTTTTATTCTTGGCTATTTGATTCACTTTCTTCTGGGGAAGTAAAAAAATAATGTACATCACAGGAAGAATTAAAGTTTTAAAATTTGTAGGTCATTTTAATATTTCTTTGTGCAGTTTCGTTTTCACAAATGTTTGGTCTTAGCCCATATCACTTTGTGCAGTAAACAGTTTTCCACTCAAATCCAAATGTATTTTTTTAGTTCATTATTAATATATCTTTCCCACTTACCTTCCTAACTCTCTTCTTCACTTTTCTCTCTCCCCCTCCACTTACCTGCTTTAGGATAGGTAGAAATAAGCAGGTCATCAGGCTTGGCTTGGAAGTTCCAGATCTGATCCCATGTGTCACAGGTGGGCGTGGGTTGAAGAATTCCCTTCACATAGTCAGTAGTTAGGTGCTCTGTTCCATCAAATTTCAAGTCCTCCATTTTATTTAAGGTCATTAGTGTCAGAAATAAGAGAACTGTGACAGATAAAATTCAGTCAGCAGAAAGCTGTATTCCTGACATCTACAGAGAAGGGAACTAGGAGTTATTGTTTAGGACTCTGTTCGTAGGTGTTTTCCAAATGAGCTCCAGCCCTCTTCTCCAGTTAAATTGTGACATAATACCCAAGGCACTCAGAAATCTTGGCAGCTGTGTCATGTTCATGCTCAGTCCAGCTCTTCTGTATCAGTTTAACAAGAGTTTAACAAAGGGCCAAGTTGTTTATATATCGTATTTTCGTGTTCATAAAATAATTCTCAGATACTTGGCATTAATTGTTTCTTTTGAGAATTTTAAGCTAAATAAAAAGTCGAAGGAAATTTGACTATGAAATTGTAGATTGCAACATAGAATAATTTCCCTGAAAGGCCGAAAGGAAATTCCTGTGGGCTGTTAACAATGAGGTCCTAGATTTGAATCTCACATCACAAATATCTGAAAGGGTCAACTTTGCTATTTTTAAGAGTAAAATAAACAATGCTCATTAGTGGTTTCCTTCCTTTTGTAGCTTGTTTCATATCAGTATCAGTAGGAATCTCATCACAGCTATTAAAACATGTATGAGTCACAACTAAAATGGATGCAAAAACTCTGGAGTTAGAGAAGATGGTGGTTGTGTTAGGACACACACCCATTTGCTTCTTCCAAAGTATGCCTTGTTTTCTTAAAAGGCTTAGTGTTTATTTATCCTGCTTGCTCCTTTTCTTGGAAACATTCCTGACTCTTCCCTGAGTTTTGATTTTCCTCTTTGTTAAACCACAACCTTTTCTCTGCTGATCATCTCTAAAACAAGCCAGATTCCTTTTAGTTTTTAACTGCTAAGTATTATAAAGTCACCCACCCAGTTTCTCTGTCTCTTCTTGTGATTTAATAAAGAATATATCTAGACTTTGTCCCTGATTTCTGGCACATAGTTTCAGAAACCCTTGGCAGTTCCTGAGTGATTGGAGTGTCTTTGATTATTCATAATGAGTCCCTATCAACCATATGACTACTGGTGGGTCCTTAGATAGTTTCAGAGGAGGGGCTGGCTACACCAGAAAGATCATACACATGATTAGAGAGTTAGAACTTTCAGTCCCATCCCCAATCTCCAAGAAGGGAAAAGGGTCTAGAGATTGAGTTCAATCATGTGGCCAAAGACATGATAAGACCCCAGTAAAACTCTGGACACCGCAGCTCAACAGTTTCCTGGTTGGTGAGCAAAGTGATGTTCTTGGAAGCTGACATGATGAGATACCATGGAAAAGGGCCTAGAAACTCTGTGCTCCCTCTTCTCTAAGACTTTGACCTACGTGGCTCTTCTATTCAACTGTTCCTGATCTTTATCCTTTATGATAAAACTGTAATTGTAAGTATAGTGCTTTCAGTGAGTTCTGTGAGTCATTATTAAACCTAACGGGGTCATGGGAACCCCCAAATTTATAGCTGGTTAGTCAGAAGTGCATGTGGTCCCAAGACTTGTGGCTGGCATCTGAAGTGGGGTAGTCTTCTGAAAGACTTGGCCCTTAACTTGAGAGGTCTGCAGCAGCTATAGGTGGTTAGTGTCACATTTAAATTGTAGGACACCCAGTTGGTGTCAGAGATTGCTGTTGGAACACTCTTTGGCTCCTGGTAACCTCAATGGCTTTCTCAGAATGGTCTCAGAGAATGGTCTCTTTCCAGCAGTCAGGATTTAACTTCTCGCTTAAAAACGTTCCACCCAAACCTTTATAGGATCCCACAAGGGCCTTTATGTAGAGTCTTCTGCCTATACCTTACGTTATGCCACACTCACTGCCTCTCACAGAGCTTCCAAAAAAAATGCTTTGTCTATCCTGACAAGCACCAGGCTCCCTCCTGCATTCTTGACACTGCCTTTATTTTCGTGGTATTCTCTTTAGCTCTTATATGTGGGGTTCTTGTTTGGTTCTTTGATATTCTTCGAGTCTTCTTTAACATCTTCCTTAAATGTCCCCTTTCTGGAGAGGGCTTCCTTGAACTTTATTGTCATCAGAAGTAAGTTTCAATTTCTTTGCTTGTAGTACTTTTCCTTCCTTTAGACTCACTATCAAAATTTAGTTTGTTTTTTTTTTTTTAAATTGAAGTGACATTGGTTTATAACATTATGTAAATTTTAGGTGTGCAATGTTATAATTTGACATCTGTATATCCTGCATCATTCTCACCACCAAAAGTCTAGTTTCTATCTGTCGCCATGTATTCAACCTCCTTTATTTTATTTGCCTTCTCTCTACCTCCTTTCCCCTCTGGTAACCACTGATATGTTGTCTGCCTTATGAATCTGTTCATGTGTTTATTTGTTTTGTTTTTCTTTTTTTTAAATATACAATGAAGAAGTGAAGTCATATGATATTTGTCTTTTTTCATCTGACTTATCACACTAAGCATAATACCCTCAGGGTCTATTCATGTTGTTATAAATGGCAGGATTTCACCTTTTTATTGCTGAGTAAGTAGTCCATTGTACACACACACAAACACACATAATTATATCTTTCTTATCCAACTATCCATCTACAGACACTTAGGTTGTTTCCATTTCTTGGCTTTTGTAAATAATGCTGCAGTGAACATAGGCGTGAATACATTTTTTCAAATTAGTATTTTTCTATTCTTTGGATAAACATTTAGAAGTGGAATAGCTGGGTCATACAGTAGTTCTATTCTTAATTTTTTGAGAGATCTCCATACTGTTTTCCATGGTGGCTGTACAGCAGGTTCTTTCATTATAACATTGATGAGATGCCTTAAGAACTTATCTCTTGATTCTATCAATTAGCTTATGGTAAAATTAGGTCATTATATGTTTTTTTTCTCTTAAAGTAGAAGAACCTATCAATGACATTAAGTGAGAAATTAACTATAATAATTTATATCCCTACCAACAGCGTGCAAGAGTTCCCTTTTCTCCACATCCTAGTTGGCACTTTTTCTTATTTATTTATTTATTTATTTGATAATTGCCATTCCAACAGGTGTGAGGTGATATCTTATTATAGCTTTGATTTGCATATCTCTAATAATTAGTGATGTTGAACTTCTTTTCATGTGCTTTTTGGCCCCCCTTATGTCTTTTTTGAAAAAATGTCTACTCAGATTCTCTGCCCATTTTTAAATCATGTCTTGTTATTGCTGTTGCTTAGTTGTCTGTGTTCTTTGTATAGATTGGTTATTAACCTCTTATCAGATGCACGATTTGCAAATACTTTCTACCATTTAGTAGGTCACTTTTTCATTTTGTTGATAGTTTTCTTTGCTGTACCGAAGCTTTTTGGTTTGATGTAGTCCCATTTATTTATTTTTGCTTTGTTTTCCTTGTCGTTAGAGTTGAATCCACAAAGATATCTCTAAGATATTTAATAAGGAGCTAGCCATCTACCTTTTCTTCCTTTTACATGGTTTCAGACTTTATGTTCAAGTCTTTCATTCATTTTCAGTTAATTTTCACGTATGGTATAAGATAGTAGCCTAGTTTCATTCTTTTGCATACGGCTGTCCAGCCTTCTTAATACTATTTACTGAAGAGAGTCTCCTTTCTCCATTGTATGTTCTTGAATCCTTTGTCATAAGTTAGTTGTCCATATGTGTGTATGTATTTCTGGGCTCTTGATTCTGTTCCATTAATTTGTGTGTCTGTTTTCTGCCAATACCACACATACTGTTTTGGTCACTATAGCTTTGTAGTATAGTATGAAATATGAATAAACAAACTAATTACTTTTCCTCAGGATTGCTTTGACTATTCTGGGTGTTTTGTTGTCCTATACAAATTTTAGGACTTTTTCTGGTTCTATTTCTGGAAACATGCTATTAGAATTTTGATAGGGATTGCATTGACTCTGTAGATTGCTTCAGGTAACATGAACATTTTAACAATGTTAATTTTTCCAATCCATGATTGCGGAATATTTTTGCATTTTTTCATGTGTCTTCTTCAATTACTTTCAACAACATCTTATCATTTTCAGTGTACAGATCTTTTATCTACTTAGTTAAATTTATTTCTAGGTATTTTATTCTTTCTTTTGCAATTGTAAATGGGATTTTTAAAAAAATTATCTGGTTTTTTGTTGTTAGTGTATAGAAACACAAAAGACTTTCATGTATTGATTTCATGTCCTGCAAGTTTACTGTATTATGTTTGTTATTTCTAATAGTTTTTTTTTTTATATGTGTGGAGTCTTTAGGGGTTTCCATATATAAAATTATGTCATCCACAAATAGTGACAGCTTCACTTCTTGCTTTCCAATTTTAATGCTTTTTGTATCTTTTCATTCCTGATTGCTCTAACAGTCTGTTCAATAGCGGTGAAGGTGGGCATTCTCGTCTTGTTCCTGATCTAAGAGGAAAAACTTCGTTTTTCATTATTGAATATGATACTAGCTATGGGTTTGTCACATATGGTCTTTATTTTTTTGATATACATTTCTTCTATACCCATTTTATTGAGCTTTTAAAATCATAAATATATGTTTAATCTTGTAAAATGCTTTTCCTGCATATATTGAGATGATTAAATGATTTTTATTCTTCATTTTGTTAATGTGGTACATTACCTTCATTGATCTGTGGACTCTAAACCACTTTTGCGTCCCTGGAATAAAGCCTACTTGATCATGTGTTTAGATTCTTTTAATGTATTGTATTAAGTTTAGTAATACTTAGTTGAAAATTTTTGCATTTATGTTCATCGGAGATATTAGTCTGTAGCTTTCTCTTTTTGGTTTTCTTTGTCTGGTTTTGTTATTAGGGTAATGTTGGCCTTGTAAAATTAATTAGGAAGCTTTCCCTCCTCTTCAGTTTTTTGGAAGCGTATTAGAAGGATAAGTATTAAATCTTCTTTGAATATTTGTTAGAATTCACCAGTGAAGCTGTCTGGTCCTACATAGACTCTTGTTATTTGGGAAGTTTTTGATTACTGTTTCAATCTCCTTATTAATGAATGGTCTATTCAGATTTTCTATTTTTTTATGA